TCCATCCAAAACAAACAGAAGTTTGAATTTACTTCTGTCATAGTTGGTGTTTCCTGATGACTGTAATTTTGTAAAGATGTGATTCAGAGCTTCTTCTGGGATGTCTTTGGTCTCCCTGATACATTTATGAATGAGCTCTGCCAAACAAAACTTTTTCCCCTTCAATAAATTCAGCTGACGGAAGGTAAAAGGGAATATAAGATCCACATCTTGATTGGCTCTTCCTTCAGACCAGTCCAACACAAACTTGCGCACAAGAAATGTTTTGCCAATTCCTGCGATTCCCCTGGTCAGCACTGTTCTTATGGCTCTTGTTTTTTCCAGAGGGGGGTTTGAATATGTCACTGGGTTTAATTGGTGTCTCTGTTTCTGATTGCTTTCCTGCCATCTCAATTTGCATGACCTCATGCTGTTGGCTGATGTGTACTTCGCCCCCCACTGTTATGTACACCTCTGTGTAGATATCATCCAGTGGTTGCTCATCCTTCTTTTTAGTCCACCCTTCTTGTGCACACATAAACTTGTCCTGGAGGTTTGATTGTAGCTTTTGTTGGTAATATGTGATTGGCTGCAGAGACTCTGATACTTGCAATGTCACATCTGTATAGAATAAAGTAACATAAAAAATAGTATCAGTGTCCAAAAAGAAGTTATATTCTTTGAAAGTCTTCAGGCTGACTGAGAAAGGCATTTTAAAAGAATAAGACACAATCTAAGATTAGATCATATTGAAAAAACGTACCTTTACATGGCAAATTCTGTGCCAGATCTCTCATTTTGATCTTCTCTAAAACCTCGTGGGCCACTTTCAGAGCTTCAGAAAGGCCATAGGTCCGCACCATCACATCCACTGTGTCCTGCCTGTCTGCTTTCTCCAGATGGTACACTTTGATGCCCTTGGGGTTATTGCAGAGGTGCCACTTGAAATTCTTGAAATCATCTTCTTTCAAGTCCTCCAGAGTGTTAAAGAGGCGCTCCTTTGACATTGTTCACCAAAGTGACATCTGCGGAGACATTTGGTTCTGTTCATTATGTTCTAAATACCTTTCATAATTGATTAATTGCACTTTCTTGGCAATTTATTCTGCTCACAACAACCCATAATGACAAATCAAAAACAGATTTTTAGAAGATTTAGCAAATTTGTCAACAATCAAAAACTGAAACATTCCATATTCCAACCCTGTATTTAATAGGACTACTTTGTAGAAGCACCTTCTTAGTAGTTAGGACTTCAAGTGTACGTTCAAGTATTAAGTATTATTTTTATTCATTAATCACTTTTTATATTCAATGAGTGAAAGGGTTATAAGGCAATAATTATACCATCCCCAACTTTTTTTAAATATGTGTTTCTATGTAGGGATGCACTGATGTGACGTTTATGTGTGCTCCCGAGTGCCTTCTTTCCCTGCTTCCCTACAGTTTCCACAGTGTGCAACACTAGCTAACATTAGCTTATAAATGGAGTCTAGGAATGTCTACAGAGTCAATTAACACAAAGTCAAAGCTAACATTACTGCAAAGCTTGTGAAATATATATTGTGATATTGTGGTTTTAGCTGGCTAACATTAGCTTGCTAAAACTGATAATTTGCTAACAAGCTAACATAGCAAAATAGCTTCATCCAGACTCCCAGCGTTGATCTGCTGAACCAGGTTAGTCATTAGCATGGAGTCAATGGCCAAAATAAAATATAGGAACATTGCAGAAAGTAACATTGCCACATGGCCATTGGTGTTGCTATTAACAATGGTTTTCACAAGTAAGCCAAGATAAGTCCACAAGTGTTGCTTGTATGGATTTGGGAAGTTTCTCCCATTCTGCCTGACAGGTCTTCTCGACCTAAGTCAGTCTGCCGTCTTCATGTTTCAGATTGTCTCTGGGGTTCAAGTCTGGGATTTGGCTTGACCATTCAAGAACGTTGAGAGACTTAAGGCGGTAGCATACAGAACTTATATCAGAACTGCTTGTTGGACAGTCAAATAACTTTGTATGCCCCCCTCACTCGGGGTCCTGCAGACATAAACCTATCCCTCAATTTACAATAAATGATAAATACAGTTAGGGTTAATGAACTCATTTTTTGAGTGAGGGGTAAGAGGCTGAGCTCTTCTTGTTAATTACAAGTAGGACAAGTGGTGATGTGCATCAGCAGGAATCCCTTCCCAGTCTTCATTGAAAAACATTTATAACCCTGCACTACCATCTGGAACTAACGGCTTGTTCACACTGCCTACCTGCGTGTGGGTGGCGCAACATCTTGTTTTTTATTTTGGCACAAATGTACCGCGCCAGAGACGATTAGAGTAAATGAACTCAGCTGCGGCTATTTTTTCAATGAGTCGAAAAAGAGAAACTTTGCTTAATTCATCCTCAATACTGTACGGAAGCCTTAAAGGGCCATGCATTCATACATTTTATTTCCTCCGTTTTCCCGAGATAACGATATAATTAATTCGAGATCTCGAGATAATGACTGATATGATAACTGCGGTCAAGCCAGCCCTTACTCCGATCTCCGTGGTCAAATCAGCTGCTCTTAAATTTCGAGTGTTATTACAAAACACTACATTTTACTTACATTACAAAATTTTGCGCCCATGATGAATAAAAAACATACTTAATATCAAGTATCTTTACTGCATCAGTGTGGAGAAATGTCAAAATAAAGTTCCATATTTGTACCTCCAAGTGG